CTGAAAAAAAATTAAAATATTAGCTTACAAGCAACCAAAAATATTTTCAGCATACCTTATGTTTTGCAATGAACCTCTAGGGAGACAAAGCAGTATCAACCACCAAGTATATTCTTAAACATCTGTATTAAAACAGCAGCTGTGATACAGCGAATATGTAAGTTTACATGAATACTTCTTTTTTTTTAGAGTTAGTTTAAAAATAAAAGGCCAGTTACTGTAGTAGCCAAAAATTAAATCTGAATGAAAAGAGTCTCCCAAGCCTGATCAGTTTGATAAATCAAACCTAATTAAGACATACATGCTTATGAAAAAGTATGTCCAGAGGAAATGTCACTATAGAAGACACTGAAGTTTATTGTTCCCAGGGTAGTATCCTAAGCACTTAACTCTGAATGCTTAAATTTTTTATTCTGAGTTTATAACCTGAATGCAGTAGATTCAGGACACACTAAGGAGTCTGCCCATACAATGGCTTTTAATGGATAGTAACAGAAGTTGGTGGCAATTCAAATGAATGTAACAGTCAAACACAACTTTGATTTGCAACAGAAACTAACAAAGCAGAACTCAGCATCTCAAACATGCTGACCTGCTGCTCCGACTGTCTCAGTTTCCAGTAACTAGAGGTCAGTTTTAATAAACAGTATCCTTAAGGATGGACATTGACAAGGGATTTTGCTAGTTATAGTTCTAAGTGTAAAAGTAAGCATCTGACTTACCTCCAGAAACTTCACCAGCATTGTCAAAAAGCATTGTTTTTTAAAAAAAATAAAAGAACAGTCATTCTAGTCATGTATTATGAATATGAAACTGTTTTCACTTTCACATGTCTCTGTCCCCAGCCATTTAAAGTATTTTTTCCCCTAATATTCCTACAGGTACTGTAACAAAATTTTTTTACAGCTGTGATTCCAAACCACTGTTTGCCAGCACAGACAGATGTGATCATCAAACACCACTGGCATGTTTTTGTGTAGAGGCACGTTTTAGAGGCAACAGGACTCAGCCAAGGAATTTACTCCCAGAATACAAAAACAATGATGGTTGGTCAGCCTTCTATTTTGAAACGCAGAACAGCTTCATTTCCTCACATATGCTAAATATATTCCATTTCAACATGCATGTCAGCACCAGAATTTTTCATTTGTTCAACACAGTGCTTTTTATAGAATATAAAAGTTAAGCATCTTATAATTAAGGTGGCAATAACAGGGCTTACTCAACAAGACAGTACAATGTATTATCCAATGTCATTAACATCACTTTATTAGTGAAACAGAACATTTAAGCTTTTCTATTGGAAAACAAAGCTTATCAGACAATATTTCTAAGCCTAAAAGGTAAAAAAAATATTACAAATATGTAATATTATACAGCATGTAAATTTAAAAAAATATCCTGATCCCAAGACAAATTTTTTCCTATCTGATATTTTCCTCAAACTTTGTGCAGGGACCAAGAACAGAGTTTTTCTAATTCCCTTATAGCTATACTATAAAAACCGAAAAATTGAGAGTTGAAGAAATTGAATTATATATTTATTGTAACAACTCTGCACAAGTCAAAGGTCAAGACTGGTACTAACTGAAAGCATGTCTTTCATGAAACCTTATGTTTCTGCTTGCAAGGTGAACAGGATTCTAGGAACAAGTAAGCTGGAACAAGTAGGTCAGAAACCATAAATCAGTTCAAATCATCTAATACAGAGTGAAGTGCAACAGACTTAAAGCTGGTACAAAGGATGAAGGCACAGAGTTCTTCAAATTTAGAACTGCATAGCTGCTTGCTCTATTTGAAACTACCAATTGTAAGAAAAAAATTCTGTGCATCATAATGAGATGGCTTCCCCATGAAGTAAAAACAAATGATGCTCTCTCATCACACTGTTCTAGGGGAAATTCTTGTCTAAAAGTAGAAGGAAATGGAAAAAAAAACAACAGAGCTGACCAAGGCTGCCCCAAGTCAGCAGTCTGATGCTCTTGGGCTTCATACCCCTCTCCAAAACGAGATAATGGGAGTGTGTTAAAGAGCACAGGGCTGACTCCCTATGGGCACATCAATGCCTATTTTATGGAATTAATTTCAGACAAGGGAAATGTAAAAAAATGTTTTGCTTATCCATCATTGGACAACCATCACTATAAGCTTTCTTTTAACTGGTGTGCAAGTTAGTAGTTTTTTCTCTACCTAATGAAAGGTGTATTTAGACTACGCAAAAAAATGCCTTGGTCTTAATAAAGTTACACATTCATTAGCTTTTGATGAATGCCTGCAACCCCTTTCCCCTCCCCAATAATCTCCTTCAACTACCCCTAGGCCCTAATCACAGTATTCTCAGTAATTAAGGTTTTGATTTTAAATTTGTTGAAAGCTGCCTAGAGAGATGTTCTGATTACCAGCTGAGCCTAAAATACAAATGATTTGAGGATTTCCCCTGGTTTCTGAGGGGAATCTGTCAGCAAGTTGTAAGATGTGATGCCAGTTCAAGTGTTTTGGCCACATGACAAGGATTCCAAATTCATTACTTCTTTCACAGGATCACACAGCAAAGCAAAATTCTCTGCAGAGTATATCTGGATGGTTTATTTTCCAGCATGTCAGTGTTTCTATTTTCTCTTGGATTCTGCAACCACTAGCAAGGCAGGAAAAGTACATGGACAGTTTATTCAAGTATTTAGTACCATGCAGCTTTCATGCAAGATTGACACTGCTTTAGTAATTATTCCTTCCCACAACCAATAAGCTTTCTTTGATAATTAGCATGGGTAAATCAAGTTTGCAGGTACAAATTATACTCACAAAATACACATAAAAAATTAACCTGCATCTCTCTTATCTCCTCCAAATTTTGTGAAAAAAAATCTCAAATATTGACTTTTCTAAACAACACTGACTCTAGAGAAAGGAAAGGGTTTTAAAAAAAGAATTAGCGTATCCTAACCTGCCATGAAAAAAACAGTATTACTTCTGTATTTTATACTTTCATGTTCATTAGCATTTTGAAGTACAACCTGCAAAGAGAGAAGCCATTTGAGAAAATGAAAAAAGGTGGTTATTAAATGCACTGCAAGACTAAGGAGTTCATCTCTAAGTATAATTCATCAGGAAAAGAGGCAACAGTCAACAGCAAGAAGCGTACTTGTGCCCCAGACTAATGGATGTCATTCATTCCTTCTTTTGTCTGCAATCGCCATGTCTTCAACCAGCTTCCAAATCATTATTTTTACAAGAAACATCTTATTGGTGTGCATCATAATCAAGGATTATGAAATTATTCCTACTTCATCAACAGTGGTTAGCACCAAAAAGTCTGCTCTGAAAAATTTAAACTAATGACCAATAATAATCACCACAGGAAAGCAAATGAGGTGAAAATATTAAGAATGGATGGCATGAAAATCATTTTTCTGAAGAAAATTATTTGGCACTCAACACTGGTTTACAACCTATATCATATTGTTTGGTACACAAATACATTATAATACGATAACATTCAAATACATTTCACACTAACTGCAGTATTATCCCATTAAATTCTCAATGGTCAAGTACTTTATGTTTAAAAATTATGAGAGAGCCAACTTTGAAGTTGTGATGGGCATTTAAGTGCTGACTGGATCAATTTCTACTTTTTAATGTGTACGAGACTATCTGATCTGCCATACTTGTCCTTGTTGAAGGTAGTTTTCTTACTAAACTCAAAAAAACAGGTGACTCACTCAGGTGATCTCAGTTCTTCTAATCTTTTTCTTAAATACAAAACTCCAGTAACTCCCACTGCCTATTCTTATGTGAATAGTCAAAAAATACTATTAGAAAAAAAAAAAAATAAAAAAAAAAAAGAAGGCATGGAGAATAGGGCAAATCAGTCCAAAAATATATCCCCAGAATAAACCTGCCAAGCTGTCTAGAGAAATGACTCCCCACAGGACAGGACAGGTTTTGAAGCCACCTAGACATGGTCCTAGGAAAGATGGACACGGTAACTCTGCCTGAGGAGTGAACCTCCACCACTCTGTGATTCTCAAACAGACCTTTTACAAACTCCAAAACCTACAACAATAAGGCAAAGGACAGTGACAGTACTACTGCAGATTATGAAAACAAGAGACATTAAATGAAATTTGAAAGTAACACATTTATAAGTTCTGGGAGGGAAAAGATGTTTAACTGGGTAGACATTAACTTTCTATTATAATTGTTATGTACTACATATGCATCATAGAATGTATTATGTGGCTGATCATGTAAAGAGTTATCCCAAAAGAGAAGGAACTGTATTTCTGGGAACGAAGAGGAAACATTCAAAACTACCATGGAGATATTGGTGTAACTTCAGCAGCAGTAGGCAGAGGTAGAGGGAAATAGCTAGAAAATAAACCTAGGAAAACAGAGTTACCATGAGAGCAACCTGACATTCAGGAAGGCTCTATCATGCAGTTTCCCTACTCATATGGGCAGAGCATGCATATTACAAGACAAGGCAAGAACAGCCCTAATTACTTTGCAATTCCACCTAAACACAAAACAAAACCAGAAACACTGTGCTTTTTGGTTCACTCAGAAGTGACTGCCGGAATTTTATTTCCCTCCTCCCCCTGCCCCAGTCCACACTCCATGCACAAATCACTACTTTGGTAATTCAATACAAGAAAGCTATTAGTAAGACCTTTGAGGTTAACAAGTCTTTCCTAGAAAAATACGCTTAACTTCCATTTTTACCTTTACCTTGTAAAATGTGACACAATTTTAAGTTACTTAATTACTTATAAAGTATTAAGAATACTTTATAATTAATTGCTAGTTAGACTCCCAGTTGCAGAATTATGGTACATTTTACTTCTTCAGGACAGCCTGCGTTATTTACTAAGTCTGTGTAAGACAACAATAAAGCGTAATAGTAAGAACACGACAAGTAAGAATGAGAGACATGAGTTTATCTCCTATTAGAAAACAAAATTATGCATCTGAAACTACACTGCCCTTCAAGACCTTACCTTCTTTTTGTCCCTCATTGAGCCCTTCCCTCGGACCATTATCTTGCATCCTGTTTCTGCCTCAAGCTGTTTAGCTGTTAGTCCTCTGGGCCCAAGGATTCTTCCAACAAAGTTAAACTGAAAGAAAAAAAATAATAATTTCTATAAAATCGAGTAATGAAAATTAATTTAAAATTTAACAAGATGTATTTCTATGTCTAAAAATATCCAGTGTTTAATGGCTTAGGACACCACACTAAATGCCTGAGGCTGAAGAAGTTAGGTGCTGTTTTCATACATTAAGGACCCACGTGACCCCAACTTTGGGGATACAAATTTCAGGTGAAACTATGTCTTTCAGATGCAACGTCAGGTAGTCCACATCAGCTGCAGTCCTTATTCCTCCTCATTAAATTGTACAAGCTCTTAGAGGAACTCTGAGCTGCTTTCCCTCACCACAAACGTGTCCAGCCATGCAGGCCAACACGGTGCACCTGCCACGGCAAGGAAACCCACAGGGGCTGGGTGCATGACCAGACATGCGCACAGATTCCATGCGGTGGGAATGCTCCGGTCTCACAACAGCACGGGACCTTCGGGAAAGGCCACCACGCTTACTGCTCAGCTGCTCCCTGCTAAGGAGCCTGTAGACAGCATTCTCCTTCCTCAGCCCATGTAGTTCTGCTGGGCTCAATCTGGGAAGGACAGGGAAAATAACTCCTCTTTATCTACTCATGCCATGTCATTCCCTTCAGAAAAAACAAATGAGGGCTCTTACACGTTTACTTAGGCTTCTTGGGCAACATTTCTTAAAAAATTGTCAAGCATACACATATATATAAAATATTTGCATATATAAAACTTTGTGTATATGCAGACACAACAAAAGCGCATCACTTTTTTTTGTAAGCTGTATCATTTACTCAGTTGTACAAACAAATAAAGCAAGCATTCCATGTTTAACTGGCTGACTTCAGCAGACAGCCCCCCACATACACTCAACACGGCAATACCACCATTTAGCCATACATAACATTACTTCATAGTTATTTTCAAGAGCTTTTTCCCTTTCATTAATTTCAACCACGCATTCTGAAAAGCAAGACATAAATTAAAAAAGCACTAAGTGATGGTAGCACTGAGAACACAGAACAGTACTCTGTGACAACTGCAGCACAAAGATGAAGCACCAGCTTAAATGACAGATAAACTAAGAAATTTCAGACTGAACATTAAATTCTAAGAAGAAATTAAAAGAACAGAAACTTGCTGTAACACTGCTCTGGATATTTTAGATCCCAGTAAACAAAGTTATTCAATGGAATTGTGAAGCAGTTGTTGGCTTTCATTTCCTCAGCTAATTAAAATTGGGCTTGAGTACTAAAACTCAACGTATTTGAAATCCTTATGAAACTGCAAAGACCAGAAATGATTTAAGAGTAAGCAAAAATTATGAATGCCAGCAAATTAAAGTTCTTTAAGAAAATTAACAGTGTTTCATAGCAGCTAAACTATTCTGGGAATATATACTCCCAAAGTTATTTAGTACTGCAAGCTTAGAAAACAAAAACATATTATGAAGTCTGAATTAACTACAGGGAGGTGAGGGGGTGTGGAGTAAAGACAAAAGGAACTTGTGAACACACACAGAAAACTGTGAATCAAAAGAAATTAAAGAAACATTCACTAAGCCTTGAAAAAGCAATGAATAGTTACAAGTAATAAAGTTCAGCTGTGAATAACATCTTACATGTCACACATTTCATGTTTAAATACCAAAACTGTACCACTGTCTTACAGGAACAGTATCTTACTTGCTTTTCTCCACAAACACACTTGTGCACACTGAAACTTTCGATATCTATGCCATTCCACCAATAATGCTAAAATAATATTGTAAAGCTGACTTGAAATTAGGATTTTAACCAACACACAAGATGACTATTGTTATATTCTTTATCTTCCAAGGAAAACAGCAGTCTCTAAAGTTTCTTTAATTTGGATCATGAGTAGAAGAATAAGCAAATAACATACTTTGGATAAAAAATAAATTAAATAGAACTATACAGGATAAGAAGAAAACAAAGGGAGGAATCTGTATTACCCTCACGTTTGCAACTTTATTCATGTTGTCTGAATATTATTCAGTTTCTAGTTGAGAAATCAGATTTAAAACTGCAACACAATCTGTTAAATGTTAAACCAGTTCCACTACCAGTTACTCTCAGGATATGCTCCTTATAATGAGCCTTCATAAACTATTCCAAGGCAGCTCGACCCTGCCTTTTCTTTCCAAACTGTCTGTATTAACACGTATCTGCACCTAGTGCTTGTCATACCTGTCAGGCCAGCAAGACTATCAAACAGAATTATCAGAACAAGACATCCGAAAAATTCAGAAGACCATTCTTACCATTTAACTCTTATTTCTCGTGCTCTTTGTCTCATAGTGTTGCCCAATCATCACTGCATTGTGTTTCTCTATAAATAATACACCTGTATTCAGGAATACTGTTTATTCTAACATTTGGACAGAGACAAAGCTAAGAATATTTGCCTTTAATTTCTGGAAGTGTTTCTCGCTTGGCATTTGTAGGATTCACCTCACCCCCGGAGAATTGCTAGTATAGAAACAGCAGAGGCTCAGAAATCAATTAGATCAATTTAAGGCTGCACTACTTTGAATATATCTAACCTCACACACGTTGAAAAGTGAGATTATTTTAAAAATTAAGCAGAAGTGTCTCAGGCTACGATTAACTGCTTTTGCATTAACAACACAGAAAAAGCTATCCAATGAAGTCAGTCTCTCCTTCCGCAACAATTAATATCTCTCTACACTCAATGTATTTTTTGCATGTAAAAATTTCACTGGTGGTATTTCACAACTGTTTTCCTGAGTTTTATTTTCATGTGATCAAATTTTCCACAACTCAAAATCAGAACTAAAGAAACAACCTCCAGAAGAAGGTGACACAGAAACCCAAGAGCATCCTAAAAGTCAAGAATTACAACTGTTTAGTGGAAGCCAGGTGCTGACATTCCAACAAGTTACACCCTCGTTGCTCTCCCTCTGCCTCTTTCTCTGCATCAATCACCCTCACATCCCCTTAGTTTGCTAACTTTTTATGTTTGAAGTTTTCAGCATGTACAAAACACTACTGGATCTTGCCTGTGTGTAAGACAGTTGTTGCCTTTTTTTGAGAAGATGTCAAAAGCACACACCCTTAAAGAAAAGAGACAAATCACCTGTCTCGGGAGACTTCACATGAGGATCTTTGTTACTGTCTTGGGTTGCAATGCAAGCTGTAACCAGAAGTATGTATTCTATAACCAGCTGTTAAAACCAGCTTGGGCTGTGTTCTTCATCTCTTCCAGGACCCATCCTCCCTCCAGGGGTATATCTTCTGTCAATGGGCCATTGAGTCTCACTGCAGGATTGATAAATGCCATCATCCCATTGTCAGATGCTCCACCCAGGGGGAGGAGCCAAGCATTCCTACCTGGATATGATCTGAGACTTGGAACACCACAGTCAGCCTTTCTCCATGGGATTCCCAGAGAAAAGACCGAACTCATCTACACAACAATCAGACCTCCAGAGGAAAACTACACCCTTCTACAGGATCACTGCTTCAACAGAACCACATCTGTCACTGCAGGAGGACTGCAGCCACCATTTAATCAGACTGCTAGCACTGCTAGCAACAGCCTGACCAACAGGGTCAGGTTGTATTCTGACTTTGTCAATGTTTTTTGCACTACTGTATTTTAACATTTCTATTAAGTTGTAAGTTGTTTTTTTTTTATTATTTATACATACTAGTAAAGAATTGTTGTTCCTACCCACATGTCTTTACCTGTGAGCCCTTTAATTTCAAAATTAATAATTCAGAGGGAGAGGGTTTATGTTTTTTATTTCAAGAGAGGCTTATGCCTTCCTTAGCAGACACCTGTCTTTTCAACCCAAGACTCAAAGTGTTTAAGCGGAAACAAAAGTATTGGGAAAAAGAAGCTGCTCCAAATCTTAAATGTTTCCACTTACTCTGGGATATTAATGATTATTCTGTAGCAACTGACACTCCCAAGAGTCAGCAAAATTTCCATGTGGTGACCTTCCTAACAAGTCTGCTGCATAAGAAACCCCCTGATAAAAACATCTTGTATTCCCAGAACAACTATTTCCTAAGCAGACCAGGTGCTGTCCCAGTTCTCACCAGTCCCCACACCCAGAACAAAAGTAGTAAAGAAAAGTAAGAATGAACCAGGCCATGACTCAGAGCTTCTGATTAATAAGAGACTACAAAGAAGTGTGTCTGGCTTTTACAGTATGGGAAAATGCAGTGTTTAAGGATCTTTTCATACATGTTAAAATCTGAAGAACTTCAGGCAGCAAAGTACTACTAAATTTCATACTACTATTGTGACTTTAGTATTTCGTGTTTTCCTTTGAAATATGAAAATAAGATGTGGCAAGAACTAATTTAACCTACAAAAAATATTCTTTACTTCATTAAGGGAAATGAATTTGAAAAAATCCAATTTGATTAAAATATCTAAATCTAGGAAGAAAGAACATAAACACATGCATTTGATCAAACAATTATTTAACTCAATTAAAAACTCATTTATTCTACCATCTTATTAGCAAATGTTCCAGTGACTTACTAAACATTGATTTTGCAGAGTCAGTTACTTATCACTGCAAAAAGCCAAAACAAGCTATTCCTCAAGTCTATTTCAACTTTAAAAAACCAAGAAAAGTTTTTAGAAGTTTTTTTAAAAGCTTTTCCTTAGGTACAATGTGTATTTGAGTATTTTTCATACACAGCCTAAATATTATTTTAAGGAAAGTGTCAAGAAAAGCACAGTAGTTATAAAAAACCAAAAGATGCTCTACCCTTCGTGCTGACCTTAAGCATAATTTTTAGATAAAATAAGCAGCCAAATTCATAAAAATTTTATGAGCACACAATAAAGGATTGTTCTTTCTTTCCTAATGATTCATAACAAATGCTTTGCAATGTATCTGTGTTTCTGGTAATCCAGAATTTGTTTTCACCTTCTGATCCCCAGCTTAGAAAAATAACAAATTCTATTATTTCCTTTACAAAAACTCCCACTGTAATTACTACAAC